GAAGCAAGTTCTCCTGGTGGATATAAATGTTCACAATGTGAACATAAATGTGCGTTCTCCCATGAACTTGACTTGTTTGGTTTCTATTCTTTTCCCATTGCAGGCCTGAAAATGTCCAAATATTGGTATTGGTATTGGAGCTCTGTATTCTTTTCTTACCCCAGAATGCATGGTCTCAAATAATACTAAGATTTTGCATTTGGCAAACTTCAGAAGCCTCGATCAGAGAATTATCATGTTCTTTCACATTTGTTCAGTTATGGGGGCGGGAAAATACATCTTCCTTCCCAAAAGTTTCCTTGGTTTTCTGTTACTAAATTCCTCAATGGCTTTGATGATTTGTGAACAGATCATGAAGCATGCAGTAATTTAAGGATTACAAAAAGTGGTCTGGCCTCTGATACATGGTTCTGCAGCGAAAGCTGTCAAGAGGTGAGCTAGTCATCTCAGCTTTACCTTTTTCATTACTATAAAACAAGCTTGCTCAATGATGTAAGTCCCTGATGCAATTCAGTGTAACATAAAACAAATCAACTTTCATATTTTTGTCTCTTCGAAGGTTTTAGTGTGGAGTCTGAAGTTCTATCAATGGTTACTAGTTCCTTTGAATGTGATATGACATGGCAGGAGAATGTGATATGAACTATGATTGTTATATTGTCAATGTATCATATGAGTAGGTCTATCTAGAAGTAACAGCTAAACTAAGAACAGAAATTTTTGCACCATGTATAGTAATAGTAAAAAACACCTGTTTTTCACTGCAAAGTACTGTTCTGTTGCCTTGGATTAAGTTCACCTGCTTGATCTTTTCCTTGATAAGTGAAAGATTTTAGCATGAAAGAATATCAACTTCATTGCAAGGTTGACTATGAATTATTTTAGTTGTTTTTCAGAAAAACTTAAGCGATACTCTTTTGCAGGTTTATGAAGGTCTTCACTCTCGCATTGGGTTTGTTAATCATCTGGCTGATGGCATTTCGTGGACTCTTCTGAGGTGCATTCATGGTGACCACAAAGTTCATTCTCAGCGGTTTATTGCTTTGAAGGCAGAATGCAACTCCAAGTTAGCAGTTTCCCTTACGATTATGGAGGAGTGCTTTCTTCCCATGGTGGATCCAAGAACTGGCATAGATATGATACCCCATGTGATATACAGCTGGGGGTGAGTATTTCTGCTTCCCATCAACTCTTTTCTATCTTGGCATACTGCTTACCTGTGTGGTTGGGTATATCGCTTAATGCTTGATCTTCCACATTCTTCAAAAGCAGTTGTGAGATTAGCTACAGCCTACACGTTTTGCCAAAATTCCTGCACTTGATAGATAAGGCATTATTCCTAGCATGTCTTGTTCATTCAGTTCTCATTCAATTATTCAAAATAATTGAATGGAAGGTTGAATTATAAATTTAAGAATAATATATTTTATGTTGAAATGACAGAAAAACTTTATAAGAGCAATTTTATCTGAAGCATTATGTTGTAAGGAATATAATGACAATATGCAAAAAATGGAATAAGTTTCATCTATTCAATGAGCCAAATCAAAAGGTGCCTTTGGTCTTGCATCCATGGTGTCATTTGACTATGTTCATATCAACTTTACAAAATACAATGACACTTAAGTGGTGCTGACAGACTTATCTTTAAAATCTTTACAGATCACAATTTGCTCGGTTAAATTATCTTGGATTCTACACGATGATCCTGGAGAAAGATGACATATCAGTAGCTGTAGCATCAGTAAGGTAATTCTTTATAATCTTGAATGCAATTGTCCATTGTCATTGCTTGTTCTATAAACTCCACGGTCTATTGCAATGCAGATATTCTTGGAGCATATGCATCTTATCTGATTTTCTTTGTGCTCCTTTACCTTTTATTTGTGGCCTGTTTTCTTTTGTTTATTTTAAAGAAAAAAATATGTCAGTGTTATTGGAGTTGGAACTTTAGAAGGAAAAACGATACATTTGGAGTTGAAGCTTCCTTTAAGTACTTAAGCTTGCGATTTCAATTTCACGGTTCCATCTTGACCTGATCTTTTGGTTTGTATGCTATGTTTGTGTTTCTTACTGTACGCCTTTCAATTTCATCAAGTATTTTCTGTTCTTGCGAGTATTAGAAGTATTTTCTCCTATCGGCTGCTTAAAATTAAGAGGCCAGACTGTGATTTAGTAAGAGATGCCTTTGCGCATATTGCATGTGCATTGCAGGTTGTTTCTGTTATTTATGCTTGGTAGACTATTAGGTATTTTTGGAATTTCATAGAAAAAATATTCATTTTTTTTCATCTGGAGGTTTCTGGATATAACTGGTGCATTCATGTCTGTTACAGAAGGTGCTTTGAAGAAACTTACTTTAAGTATTGTCGACTAGTATATAAATTTCTCTGACCAAAAAAAAAAAGAAAAAGACTAGAAATTTCTTAACTATCACTATCCAATCCCTACATTTACTATATGGGGATGCCAAAAAGAGTTATAGTTTACTTGAAACTTTTTTCCCCATAACCTCGATCATTAATTGTGACTAGCAAGCTGTGGCCTCCTTGCTGTCCGTTTGATAAAACTGTCTCACTAAAATCAGGATTTTTTCTGCGGTGACGATCTTTCTCTGAATCAGAATTTGGTTCTTATGCAGGATCCATGGGGTAACAGTTGCTGAGATGCCTCTGATTGCAACATGCAGTAAATACCGTCGCCAGGGAATGTGCAGGCGCCTACTAAATTCTATACTGGAGGTAATCTGACAGGAAACAATGTTTTAAATGCCGGGTGTCCCACTCAGATGTTTTACTTAGTAGAGGGTGGGACATAAGCCCCAAAAATGGGTGTTAATCCTATGGAATTTTAATTTTATATGATAACAAATTATAGTTAGTGTTGAATTATTTTAAATAAATGTTTAACATGCTTTACTTATGAAACCCCTTGCTTGTTCCCTTCTTTTCCTCGTCTCTGGGGCTTGCGATGCACATTATCTTTTATTTTACAGTGAAGCAAGTTTTTGCCATGTATGCTTACTTGTTTCCCTTGTGATGACTTCCAGATGCTAAAGTCGTTCAAGGTTGAGAAACTTGTCATATCAGCTATCCCAGGTGTAGTGGAAACATGGACTTGTGGCTTTGGCTTTGAACCCTTGGAAGATCATGAGAAACGAAGTCTAAGTCATATCAACCTCATGGTGTTCCCTGGAACTGTATGGTTGAAGAAGTCTTTGTTTCAAGTTGCTGATGCAGATCAACCGAGTGGTGAGTATTTAGTGTTTGATGTTCTTCAACTTTAAAGATATCTTCTCTTTCTTAAACACTACAAACTGGAATTGATATGTTTCATTCTTGAAATCAGTTCGTCCGGGTGGAACAGTATCTTGCCATGAAAATGGCCTCACCATTATCGAGCCCATGCAACATTGCATGCCATCTCAAGATGTCAACGCAGGAGCTGATGTCAGACACCCACCTCAGTCTGAGAGTTTTCAATTCTGTGAAGATCAAGGTGGTAGTAATCTTGCTGGTCATGAGCTTAGGCAAGGCTGTGAAGGAAACACCATTAATCCAGAGCGTCAAACTGAAACCGGGTTGCCGGACTCAAATGATTTACAACCAGTGGAAGTCCAGTATGTTGTTGATGCTCTGCCTGGCAAGTGCTCAAAACTCTCCGAGGAACCGGTTCTGACATATATCAGTCATGGGGAAGCAGGTTGTAGAGTAGATAATTTGCAGATGAATGTGGATAGTCATTTTTGTTTAGATGAAGTGAATTAATGTGTTGTAGGTGAATGTGTAATGACGTTGATAATTTATAATTTCGTAGCTATACACCAGTGACTTTGTCAAGCGGGATAGAAAATAAGCAAAACGATGCGGAAAATGAAAATCTGGGCGAATTGCTTTCTCAAGTCATTTTCATTTTTTAAAAGTTTTTATGGTTTTTTTTACAAAAGATTTTCATTTTTACACCTAAGATATTTGAAAAAACTATTTTCTTTTTATAAGTGGTCAAAAGATTTTAATTCCCCAATAGAAAATTCACTATACGAGTAAAGCGTGATGGAGTAAATTACAAGTTAAACTAGTTTTCAATGCGTCTAGGGATATTTACCTGATTCCTTTGGGGGGCTATTTCTGTTCTTCTTTTGTTGATCAGTCTTGAATTTGTTCTATACAAAAGTTGAAGTCGTTTAAAAATTAGGAAGGGTGCAGTGTCATTCTTTATGGGTACCCTTAAATCTGATTGGTCATACCACATATGGCTGGCTTCAAAAACTTTCATTTTGAATTCGAGTTTAGTGAAAACAACATTTCTACTCACAAGATAGGACGGTAGGAGATCTTACTTGTGAGTTTATACTTATGTGTTATTGTTGTTGGTCATAGAACATATAATACTAAGTAAGAAACAAACTAAAACAACATTTCTACTTCACAAGATAGGACCGTAGGAGATCTTATTTGTGAGATTATATGTTATTGTTATTGGTCATAGAACATGTAAAACTAAACAAGAATCAAACTAAAACAACATATCTACTTCACAAGATAGGACCGTAGGAGATCTTACTTGTGCGATTACACTTGTATGTTATTGTTGTTGGACATAAAACATATAAAACTAAACAAGAATCAAACTAAAACAACATTTCTACTTCACAAGATAGGACCGTAGGAGATCTTACTTGTGCGATTACACTTGTATGTTATTGTTGTTGGACATAAAACATATAAAACTAAACAAGAATCAAACTGTAGCATTCTGTCTATCTATTTTTCTCTAGCCTAGCTTACTCTTATTCGTTACATAAACATCCAGAAAAAATCAAATAAATAATGTTAGATATTGCTTTGAACATGCATTGTATTTGAAAGATAGTTAAAAAATTTGAAAACTCGAAAATATTTAAGAAAATCTAATCAAATTTCATGACGTAACAGTTTTTAGAAGATATATTTTTAAAATCTAGAATCAAACGCTCGTTCGCTCGCTGAATATACTAATAATTCCAGAAAGAGGACAAAAATGGAGGAAATGAAATACACCTAACACTGCAATTTGCAAGAACTCATCAAACAAGAGAGTGTAACTTCCATAACAGAGCTAAAATCTCAACTCCCAACACCAATTTTGAACCTTTTTATCTTTCAATTTCTGTAAATTATGTGCTAATTTTCTCATAATTTGAAATGCCTTCATCTCCTAAATCTTTCAATGCTTGGCCATCTTCTTCTTCCTCCTCCATCTACTCCCGCAGATCGACGGTCCTGATCCTCTGTTCTCTCATCGGTGTGGCTGGGTTTATGTTCGGTTTTATTGCAATTTCGAAGCAGGGTTTGGGGTCAAATTGTAAATATGCTGAACGTCGATCTGTTTCTGTTGTTTGGGATAGAACTGGTAGTAAGGCAAGTGAAGATACTGGTGGAGTTTCAGATGAAGGGCAAAAGAGGCATAAAGTCATGGGCTTTGTTGGGATCCAAACTGGGTTTGCTTCCACCGGTCGTCGCCGGTCGTTGAGGCAGACTTGGTTTCCTTCTGATCATCAAGGCCTTCAAAAGTATTACTACTACTCTCTCTGTAATTTGTTATGAATGTGGAATTAAAAAAAATTAATCTTTAGTTTATTGTTGTGCGTTTGAAACCGTTTCTCTACCTCCACGACGTAGAAGTAAGGTCTGGTTTGGATACACACTACCCTCCTCAGATTCCACCTAGTGAGATTACACGGGATATTTTGTTGTTCTTGTTGTAGTTTATTGATGTGATTTACCTCCACGTTGTAGAAGTAAGGTTTGCATACACCGTAGCCTCCCAAGACTCTTACACTAGCTATGTTGTTGTTGTTGTTGTTGTTTATTGATCTGCTCATCTGCTGTGAGATTTCATGAAACCATGCATAGTTGATACAAACTTAGTTAAGAAAAAGACACAATGGAAGGGATAGCTGTGAGATTTCATAAAACCATGTTTAATTTAATACAAACTTAGTTAAGAAAAAGACGCAATGGAAGGGATAGCTCTGAGATTTCATAAAACCATGCGTAATTAATACAAACGTAGCTAAGAGAAAGGCACAATGGAAGGGATAGCTGTGAGATTTCATAAAACCGTGCGTAATTAATACAAACTTAGCTAAGAAAAAGAGACAATGGAAGGAATAGCTGTGAGATTTCATAAAACCATGCGTAAATTAATACAAACTTAGCTAAGTAAAAGATACAATGGAAGGGACAGGTGTGAGATTACCTTCATTTGGAAATTCACATTATCTTATAGATAAGCATTTTAATGGAACTGACGTGAGGTGTTTGGAGTATTTACTGTGTAGTCTTTTTTCTAGTAATCAACTTAAAAATCTATTTAGTTAGTCGATTTTATGAACGTTCTATCATTTTTTTGTTTTTTCTGGTAGCTTGCTCTTGTAGTTTATATGCTTGTGTGTCATAGGGAATAAATTGATGTGTATGACTTGCGGTTAAAAGACATTTTCTTAATTAAGGATGTGGAAATTGAGTTATTCATAGAACAATTTTATCATGCTCTTGTTGAATTGAACTGGAAGTTTCCTGCCATATATATCCAAAAGGCAATGATACCTTTTTTTGTCTCCTTTTGCGGAAAAAAAGAAAAAAGGAAAAATTGTTTTCCTTTTTCGCTAAGCACTTAGAACCAGATATTTCACAAATGAACTCAATGTTATTCCTTTATTTATTATGTTTATAGGTAGTTGTGTTTCTCTGTCTCTATGCATTTCTTGAATCTATACTTTGCTAAACCGACGTAAATGAAATTGCAGGTTAGAAGAAGCTACTGGCTTGGCTTTTAAATTTGTAATTGGTAGAACAAGTGATCAATCCAAAATGGCCGAGCTTAGAAAAGAGGTAGCACAATATGATGATTTTTTACTATTAGACATTGAAGAAAAGTACAGTAAGCTACCATACAAAACGTTAGTTCTGGCTGCTCTCATGTAGTAATTCATCATTTTTTTCCTTTTTTGGTTTCCTATACTTACTCAAGTTGTTTTTGCAGCATAGCTTTTTTTAAAGCTGCCTATGCGCTTTATGACTCTGAATTTTATGTTAAAGCTGATGACGACATATATTTGAGGCCAGGTAACAAGAATTTTGAAGCTTTTCTATTCTTACTGTTCTTTACTTGTGGTTCTTGTTATGCATTTACCATGTCCTGTAATTTTGATGTACTTGAGTTGCTTTAATTTTCCATTATAGATCGCCTTTCACTGCTCTTGGCCAAAGAGCGCCCTCACTCCCAAACATACCTTGGATGCATGAAAAAGGGTCCAGTTTTCACTGACCCCAAGCTCAAATGGTGAGTCTCATAATTTGCCTGCATGCGATATATTCCCAATGTAATGCTGGTATCTAGTTTATTTGCTCTATACATGTAGAAACTTAGTCCCTCCATTTCTAGTTGAATGCCTCAGTATTATTTTGGAGGACTAATAAGATGAGAGTTGACTATGTTTTGCAAGTAAGTAGTTGCAATCTGAATTAGGTGGCCGACCGAGGTACTACACAAACTCACATTACTTAATTTTACAATTTGACTCTTAAACAGACCATGGTAGCGAATCTAAAAGATTGCAATAAATTCTTGCACCAAAAACAGAAAACTATATAAATGTATGAAGGGGTTGAAGATAAACTAAGCACAGTATTAGCAGTCTTGTTTAAGTTTAGGACGCCACGCTTACATGCGTTTAAGTGTAGACACTCAAGAGCTAACTGCTAAGCCAAGCATTGCATCACCCATTGGCTCTATATGGAAAAGGATGGCACTAAACAACAAGCATAGCTAGCAAAGTGTAATATTAATTGTTAAGTAACCAGTATGAATGATACTAACTAAAAATAGGAAATTAGAAATCTAGTAGAAGAAAACCAGTTGCTAAATCTATTTTAGAAATTCAAAAATGCATCTTTGCGTTTAAATTAGAAATGTGAAGATGGTTCTTGACCTTGATTCATATGATATTTACTTCATATATTTCTCTTAATTGTTGTTCTTCTAATTCTTTTGCCCATATAATTATTGTTTGAGTTTATAGTTATTCTACCTTTCATTAAATATATAGAATTTTTTTCATCTTCTTTTCATCTGTGCGTTTCTTCACTAATGTCGGGCATTAATTGTGCTGTGTGCTGAGAGCCTCAGCAGATTTTGGCACTTTTCGATGCATTTTTACCTTAAACAACACTAACACTAATATAAGGCTCCAAAAGGAAATGGTAGCTTGAATTTGAAGGTATAAAAAACTGTAAGTGTTTACTATAGTATTTGGTGGACTGCACAAAATCCAGAGGGTCTTCTGTGTATATATTAATACTGACTCCTGCTATTTCTTTTGACTTAATACCTCTGTTGAGAAGAGCCTTCCTTTATACCCAACCCATTCTCCCTGCAGATATTTATACTATGAGAAAGGATCAAAACTATTTAAATTTAAGGTTTTGGAGTTGTATCACAAACACATTGCATCAATGACAATGTAGCTAACAAAATGGCAACGTTCATTTGTGCCTTTTACAGTTTCCATTCTATTTTTAGGAACTCTCTCCTATCTCTTTTTTCTACAAGTAAATGAATTTTGTTGGGGAATTCATTCTTCTTTTTTGTTTGCGGAGGATGGGAGGGTGATAAAGTATTAATCATTGGCAGTATGTATGCCTGCTGATACATTATTTCAAGCCTGTGATGATGGTGGTATAAAGAATATAAAGTTTGTTTGGGTAATGTGGAAAGAAATCAAATATGCTCTGAGAAACTAATACTATGTAAATTATATGAGACCATTTTTCTCTATGTGATTTTATGTCTACCTCACCATTTTAACACATTTAATCATATTATAGTATTGCACCTATATGGTAGATCATTTAAATGTCAACGTTAGATATGGTTAAATCATCTCAGATGACCTTCTCTCGTTTTAGATATGCTGCTACTATAGGCTCAACATTTACTACCGTATGGGTATTGTTGGTCTCACAATCGTACTTATCTTTCACTTTTGCATAATTCTTCCAACTCCTGTAGCACTCCTCTATTTAAACCTCTCATTTTAGTTCTATTTGCAACATCTTTAAATGTCATGCCATTCTCCTGCAAACTGAGTCGAGAAACCTGAATTGTCTGCATTTAGCACTATAATCCCGTCTAGTATCACTTTATTCATTCTTCTGGCAGGGACTAAACTTGTAACTCATTTTCATCTTACCTTTTACTTACCCTAAAATCTTACTCCCTTCGAGTCATTCCAAATTTTTTGTGACTTCCTTTCTGGTTATTACAGTAGACACAATATCATCCGCAAGTAACATACACCATGTAGTTTCCTCTTGTATATTATTGATTTGCTCATTCAGAATTATGGTAAACAAGTATGGTCTCAAGGCAGATCTGGTGTAAATCTACATTATGTGAAACTCCTCTGTATCTTCTCCAATTATTTTCTTTCTTCTGATAGTTCTATTGTACATATCCTTTATAGCATTTATAGATTTCATATGAATCCCTGCTTTGGAATACAACATTACCAGTTATCCAGTTTCCCCCCCCAAAAAAAAAAAGCTTTGATATGAATCCCTTTATTCTGCAACATCATCAGAGGACTTTTCTCGACTCCCTCATATGCTTTCTATAGGTGAACATTTATCATGTGAAGATCCTTCTTCATTATACCATAAATTTCCATCCATTTTTTTTAGCAAAAACAATTAAATATATTCTCTGTGAAACTGATGCAGGTATGAACCACTTGGATATATGCTCGGGAAGGAGTATTTTCTCCATGCTTATGGTCCTATTTATGCTCTTTCTGCTGATGTTGTTATGAGCTTGGTTGCCCTCAGGAACAACAGGCAAGTTGGTTTTGTACAAAAATCTGTAATTCATCTATCCTGAAGTGCTGAATATTACTCCATACATTTTTATTTTCAGAAAGGTAGTTGTAGGTCTTGTTTACTGCTGTTGGGTATATTACATCTGGGCAGATGTTTATTTTTTTTCTCATCACATAAGAAGAAGAAAAAAAGACCCTAACTTCATTAGTGTCATATTTTCGCTTTTTTCAAAACTTGTGTTGCATCTTCATCTATCACGCTATTATCTTGAAAGATTTTCCTTAGTTATTTAAATTGTCTGCATTAATTAATTCTTAATAGGCGTAATAATAAATTAAGATAGCATAAGATCTTTGATATAAAAGCTGGATACAAATTACACATCACACTGCTTTTGCCTTCCAGTACCTCTTTCTTTGTTTTTATTCAACCTTGTGTCTCTGCTAGTTCCCAGTCAAAAGCATAATAGCTAATAAGTTATCTCCGTTGCTGTTGAATTTTCAGTTTCCGAATGTTTAGCAATGAGGATGTTACTATTGGTTCCTGGATGCTTGCGATGAATGTCAATCATGAGAATAATCAACACTTATGTGAACCAGAGTGTACCCCTTCATCCATTGCTGTGTGGGACATTCCCAAGTGTTCAGGTCTGTGCTCTTGTTCTTTTGAAAATCAGTGCTTCACATATGTTCCCTTGGTGATTTTGTTCGGAGACAAATAGCCTGCGAACTTTTGCTTTGATGCATATTGAATGATCATGAATTTGAACTTGTGGCATGGGGATAAGTGACAAAAAAATCCTTTTTTGTGAATTGTGAGGCATGTTAGATCATGAATTTGAATATGCAGCACTCTCTATGGAAGCTGCTAGTTTCGGCCATTTCCTTAAATGACATGTATTTTAGTAACACAATATAGGATACAATACTATTTAGAAATATATTATTGATAATTAGTCACAATCTCATTATATACTCCGTTCCAAGGCTATTGAATCAGTTGGGTTTAACATCTTGTTGCATCTTAACACTTGATTTCTTTATCTCTATGTAAATGTGAATCTCAGTTGTCTGAAAGAACTGCACTTGATACTCGTGCTTTTTATTTAGGCAATTAATTCATCACTACACCAGCTTATTTCACTCGCAGTACTTGTTCTTGCCAACTAGCTGATACCGTTCTTGTCTTAACTTTATCTTCTAGGGCTATGTAATCCTGAGAAGAAAATGTTGGAACTTCATACGAAAGATGCCTGCTCAAAGAGTCCTACTCTGCCATCAGATGAGGATGATTAGAGCTCATTGCTATCAAGCACAGTAGGCTGACAGATTATTTACAGATTGATTCATTCCTTTTGGTTAATGAGCTCAGTCAACGTTGCTGCTGGAAACTTGCCTCCGCTAAATGTCACGTGCATTTTGTAAGTTACCTGTGTAACAGTAGTTCACGTCCATTTTTGTACGTTACCCTGTTCAACAGTAGTTGAGGAATATGTTTTTTCCGGTTGTTTGTTGCATTTAGAGATCAGAGTTTTGTAGCAGTAGGAGATTTATGGGAGTAGTTTGTAGGAGCCAAGAGATTACCTTAGTTCTCCTGTTGAGTACATTACACAGTTGTAATTTTGAGGTCCTAGAGCTGTTTAAGCACTGTTGAGGGAAAATATAGTAGTTCTAATATTCATATATGAACAATCCAAAGGTTTTTTTAGAATTCATATGTAAATTATGTTTATGATTGTTTCTATAGCAAACCAGAATCATAAAAAGATAAATTTGGAACGATACTTGAGTCGAGGGTCTTTCAGAAACTATAGGGGTAAGGTATGTGTACATTCTACCCTACTCATACTCATCTACACCGGGTATGTTGTTACTATACATTTGCAAGGAATTGGTGAACTTACAAAATGAACCTATATGCTATCTAGTTTACAAAATATGTACACGGTATATAAGTGGTATATACCTTATACTAAATATACATATATTATATCTAGCTACTTATACACAACATATACAACCAAAGTGTACATGTAGTGTACACTCTCCTAGAGAATACAATATCTTAAATTATAAAGACGTTAAAAGGTTGAAATCATAGAGTTTACATATTGAATCTGTCTCTATTCGGATATATCGGAAGAAAAACTTTTCTAGTCCAAATTCATGTATAAGAAAACTTAACATAATGGTATTTTAGTAAAAAATTACGTGCACTTTGTATTTACATCAAGTCTATATATATATATATATATATATATATATACATAACACTACATATTTGTACATAGATTTTTCGTGCGTAGCCATACTCAATTTAAAATGTAATTTCACCTCATTAAATCACTTAACTATAATACAGTAATATGATTTTATCATATTATAAATGTTATTTCCAAAATTAAATATTTATTTATTTATTTATATTTTTTTCCTTTTTAGGGTGGTGAAGGAGGACCCCACTATATTAAGGAGCAGCTTGTGTATAGATCCTCTTTATATTTATTATTATATTGTAAAGAGTATCCTAAGTCAATATTCACGAGACAATGGTCACCATATTTATGGTTTACCCAAATTGTCAAATTTCACATGACCAATTCTTTCACAATATATTCCTCTAAAATTAGCATTAAATTATACTATTAATGTATTATAAATTGGTGATAAAATAAGGAAATATATGTATTAAGTAATTTGGTTAAGTAAGTGTTTATATAAAAATATAGACTTTTATTTATTAGGTTGGTGTAATTAGTGGTGGAATTAGGATTTCACTAAAAAATCAGAATATAAAAAAATAAATATATGAGAGTAATTTTTATTTTGTATACTAGGCTCGAGTTTTCATTGAAAGGAATTTGAATGAAATCATGCATCTTTAGTTTCACCCTTTGAACTTGGTGTAAAAACATATTATGAATTATTTTAAAAAGGATTCTGACTTGAGATTAAGGGTGTGTTCAGTATCGATTTTTTCATATTTGGTTGGACAAAATTTTAAAAAATATTTTTTGTAGGAAAAAAGTTTTTTAAAACTATAGAAAATATAAATTCTCTAATGGAAGTAGAGAAAACAAGTTCTACAAGTGATATCACGTTCACGTTGATTGTCCTCTTTATCCTTCAACACAACAGACCTTATCTTCACTCCACTCCAGCGTTTTCATATCATTTGTCTAAATTATATGCAAATAACTTTAGAATAATACTTTTTATTTACGTAACACGAACACAAAAATAAACAAAAATGTACTCATTTTATTTTTGAAAATATTTTTCATGCCAAAACATCCAAAGTCTAATCTAGCCTAAGCATTTCTGACATCCCAATTTATGTCCTTTGATGTACAATACAATTATTATTTTATGTTATCATCTTTTTCTCCAAAAAAATTAACTCAAAATCCAACAAAATGTCATGCAGAGGCATCTTCTCTGAACAATAAAGATTCACATTAAATATAAATATATACAAAGTTCAAAAAATAAAAACAAATAGTAGTAAATTGGACCATAGTGTCCAATAGGTAGTGAAGAATACTAACCAAAAAAACACTTGATGACAAAAAATGTTCACAACCCAAACATGAGGAGAACTCCATTTTCTTGAATAACTTAAATTACTCTGAATTTCTGATCATGCCCATACCCCCC